TTTTTGTCAAATGACCTACACCTGTATTCATCTAACAATTTAGATCTCTAGCCATATAAGATTTGGAATAAGGGGTGTCTACCCTATTTCTCCATAAAATAAAGGTTTGCCACGAAACCCTAATGGCAACTTTGGTAAAAAAAATTGGCAACACATGGATAACTTTGGTAAATCGCAATTATATTCAACTCTTAAGGTTTTTTTTCTTCGTTATCCTTGTTACTTTTTCCGTCTCTTTAGACACGTTCAGGAAGTTTTATTTTCTTTATACATGGTGTTTTTTTCTTTAATAGAGTTCTGCATTAAATGTTGTTAATCAATTATTGGTATTAAATGTTAATCAGTTTGAATGTTTTATCAGATTCCTAATTTCATTTTTTCCGGAATCAAGTCCTTTGTTATGGATGAGTCACTAGAAGTTAAATAGCGGCGAAAAGAAAGTTTCTTGAATCATGCTTCGAGATTTGCTGCATATACGAGAAGAGGAATCCCTAAGATTAAACCGCTGCGATTATCTAGCGTACAATCTTCTGTTATAGAAGTCATAGAGCATATTTACATAATTTTGCAGGTATATTCTACATCACTTGATTAGTGTCTATGGTTTTGTCTTTCTATTCAGATTTCATCTTTCCCGTGCATTCTTTCTTTGTTCCACGTAAATATACTTCTGAATCTACCATTCAAACGACAACTCTACGAATGCTATTTTTCTTGAAACATTGTTTCAATCTCAGTATTTTTTGCACATCACTGGGACGATCAACGTATAGTGATTTTTGATTATTCAGCTTATGAGAATGGTCACTGTAAAGGCTCTTATGAATTTTCATTGTCTGCGAGTATCTGCTAAAGTAACTCATATATGTATGTATTCCATTATATTTAGGTTTTTGACATATTTTGTAAAAACAAAAGGTCTCAATTTTGCTATGTTAAAGGTTTGTAAATTGGTTTTCATCTATTCTTTAATTTGTGAAACGAATTATGGACCGTCAAATGATTTACTTTTACATCGCTCTACATTATATATATATATATAATTTCAATCAATTTATATGTATGTCTTAAACTATCAAATGTCTTATAATAATTGTCTTAGGCAGATGCTTGACTGGCATATATATTGTATACTCTTTCTTCCAGGTGCAATATATGGATCAATTTATGGGATAGTCAAATTATTATTGTCGATCTTTCTACTATTTTTTTATTTATTCGGACTGTAATTTTAGCCACCTTCTCTACCATGTGGCTCAGCTGCATTCTCTACAAGCAAATGTCAAGCACTTGGTTGATTAGCGAGTAAAGATTGTTCCCACTTATATTGATGAGGAAATGATATATAAAAACTAACATTTGGTTCGATCATTATCTTCAAAGTTCATATGGTTTGATTTTCTTTCTACATACATGTGTATATATGATGATACTTCATGATGCATGATTGTCATATTTTAATGTTGATTGTCAACCAATTATCCTTTTTGCTTTTGACACATTTTTAGATTTCAGTCTCCAAGGTATTCAATGTTGATTACTATCTTTTACGGAGTATATTATTTTCTAAACTGAAAGCAAATTAGAAAGTAGAGGCACGGTAAAACCGATACGAAAAAGGAAGAACGATTCGAGAATGGCGCTTATAGTAACCTAGGAACTATTACAAGTGATGCATATAAAAGTTCTCATATTTATAGCATTTCAAAATATTTGTTATAACTTATATTATAGAGTTGTGTTTCATATAAATAAGAATCAAAACTTGATCTGTCAAAATCTTTTATATATTTAAAATATTATTTTCTTATTTTGAAATTCTACCGGTACATCGGAGATATACTAGTCTTGACTAACATCAAACTATCCCTAAAAACTCACAAGGTTAGAATACTAAACTAGTGAGTTTTTCTAACCTAGTGAGTTTTTAGGGATAGTTTGCTATAAAATAATTGAACTTTATTAATATTAGTGAATACTGGGTAGTGAATGCAAAAACCCAAATAAAATTTCATTTATTCAGAAATTTGTTCCTTAACTTTGTCACAAGATTAGCATCGACGAAAAGTGAGATGAAGGGTGATTTTCTGAAGCTAATTCAATGAAAGTTAGCACAACCAACCTGCAGAGAGGACCATCGTTCTTATAACGATTTTTGAGTTTACATTTCAATCAACACCAAAGTCAGCACTTGCCAACAACAAAAACGGCATTTTTTTTTCGTTTTTTGTTTTTCAGGGGATCTTACAAACCAAATTGCCAGTTCAAAGAATGATATTTCTTTCAGAGATGTCAAAATCTATACAGACGATATGAAAGCAGCAGAGGTAGATTGATAAGCCATTCTTAGTAAACTAGGATTGAGAAAGAGCTGGTGTTTTACAGACAGGGCACGTGTTTTTGCGTCCTAGCCACTGCTCTATGCAATATATGTGATACGAGTGTCCGCACTTCAGCTTCCCCGTCTCATCACCTGCTTCATATTCCTCCTGCAATTTTATAGTCAAATTATGGATATGTTTGTTTGTTAAGCTTTTCAATTACATTACGGAATATTTGCAAAGACAAACCTGACATATAGTGCATTTTCTCTCCAATTCAGTGGCGAAATGTCGAGACAAATCCTCAAACATTGCAAGTTTAGTCTTACTCAGACAGCCAGTTATCTCATCCTCTCTCAGTCCAGTGCTCACATGCCCAATCCTATCACCAAGATCCAGTAATTCCTGTTTGTCACTGCCAAAAACATTAAAATAATAATAATAATAATAATAATAATAATAATAATAATAATAATAATAATAATAATAATAATAATAATGACAAAAGGCTGAGAAAGATACCTCGTAAGACATATTATCAACGTCAAGCCTGAGATCCCTGTATCTATCAAGCCTATCCGATCTCCCTCCCATCATTAGATTACTTTGGAGCATTACAATCTGCAAATATATTTATCATGAGAATTGATTCATAGTGGGTATATTTCTGTGATATATATCACTTGGCATGTGTATAATATTGTGTATCAACTATTATCCAACAATCCAAACAAACCCTTAAAGGCCTCGTCCCCACAAAATGTAGTGTGAGTTATCATCTCATCTAAGACAGTCTAATGAGTTTACAAGAAAAATAATCATTTCTGTATATTATTATATTCACGAGCATCATTTATTCTGTTAAATACGATATTTCTGCACACAAACTTTTCAGAATTTTCATATCATGACTGTTAAGCTTCATCCATAAGATTTTGTTCAGAAAAGTCAACTCCAATGTTCTCAGGATTACATGAAAAACTTTTTCCCGGATATGGAAATAAACTATCAACTTCGTTATGATCATAAGAATAGTAACTCAGTCAAAGTAGTTTCAATTCTACGTTGAATTTAAAAAAAAAAATATACTGATATTGTCACCTATGTTCTCTAACATACCTAGTCAAATATGTGATTCATCTTAATTAAATCCCATGTCTCAAGCACAACTGATTGGTAAACTAAAATAATAGTTATTATAAATGAGTCAAAACAGCCAAAAATCATTACAAAGGAACGGGATTGCAACATGCAAGACTTGTATTCATGTTTAATTAAGTATGTCTATACTATCAATTGTTAATTTAAAAAAAACGAAAAGAATATGTCTATATGTAGTTTCCAGTGAAGAACATGCAACATTATATTGAGATAGAATAAATAAAGAAAAGTAAGTGGAACTGAAATAGTGTATCTGTCCATACAAAGGGACAAAAGCTAACCTCAGCAAGTCCTCCATGGAAAGCACCATGTCTGAGATGATGATGGTGACGATGATGATGATGTCTGGATCCAGAAAAATCGGATCGAAATCGATTTATTCCAAAGGCAGAGTCAGATTCAATAAAAGGGTTTTCTTCTGGACTAACCATTCGCCTAACACTATTATACGGACGCTGACAATCAACAAAAAAGGGGAAAAAAAAAAGTGAGGCCTGTGTGTAAAACTGATAGTAAAATAATAACCGAGTCCAAATGTTCAACTCAACACTTGAAAACCCGAAAACCATTCCGAAAAAATCAGGGTGAAGTGGAAAATAAATACTCATTACCAACCAAGTCAATGTAGATGTAATAGAAAATTGGGAACCAGGTGACAAATCAAATGAGAATTTTCTGATAATTAGAACCGGTTATTATGCCACTTTCGGATATTGCACTCAAGAGGATATGTATATACACTTCACTCAAAATTCAAGCACAAAATAAATAAATAAAAAGAAGATATTTTTATAGCAACGGCTGCCGACAAATTCAATGTGCGGCACAGAATCAAGATCCACGAAACACATAAACGCGAAATAACAAGAAATTAAACCCTACTCCTCAACGCAAAACAATTATTCAGGTCCATAATCATATTCACAGACACATAGACAACGAAACGAAAACCAGAACAGAATTCGAAAAAAATAAAGAAACAGAAGATAATACCTCCCTCTGAGCAAGAAGAATTCTGTCAGCAGCGTCAACTTTGCCTCGGGCGGGCCTTCTAGAAACAACACAATCAACAGAAGAAGCATCTGTAACAAGACCCAAACCAGGGCCGCACCAAACATCAGGCACACCCACACAGCTCGAAGAAGACAACGCCATTGAAATCGACGATGGGTTGTCTCTGGAGCTACTATCGGAGCTGATAATGGGGGGTGGCAGCAGGAGGTTATCGTTGGTGTTTATCTTGGTTTTGAGCCTTTTCTTCTTCAATTTCTTGGATTCCCAATTGGCGGATGTTCTAATGACCGCCGGGACGGAGACTTGTGAGGAGGCGGCGCAGCCTAGTCCTCTGAATGTTGCAGATGTGAAGTTCTTCTTTTTGGAAGTTGTTTCATTTGTTGATGATATCAGGATTGACGAAATTGTGGTTTTCGTACGAATTGGATTCGGATCTGTTTCTGGGTTATCCGGAGGAGTTCTGGGCTTTCTGCACCTAATTTGTTCGCCAGCCGCCGTAGCTGGGTCGTCGGCAACCACCACCACAGGCATGGTTTCTTCCTTCCTTCCTTCTTCCCAAATAAACTACTTAGAACTTAGAGAGAGAAAGAAGAGAGAGAGAGAGAGTTGCGTATAAGGAAAACAGGTGACGGAGAATGGGGGGCAAGTGGGATGTTACGTTGATGGAATTTGAAGGAAGATTTTTTGTGAGTTACTATAATAAATCAAATAAATTCTGTGTTTTGAGCTGGTGGTGTGTGTGACTGTGAGAGAGAGAAGATAGAGAGAGAGAGAAACAATTGGGGTGGGGTGTGAAATAAAAAGGTGTTAAAAACAGGAAAGAGGAGAAGAGGTGGGGATGTTGATGGAATTTCAATATTCTATTTTTGTTAAATTACAAAACAAGTTGAATTTTGTTAAATTTCAAGATAAAAGTATACACATGTAACTTTTTTACTTCCGTCACGAAATTTGTAAGTTACTTATATTAACAAATTCTTAACAAGAGAACTCAAAGGGGCAAATGTTTGGATACGTTTTGGGGAGTTATTTTTAATTTACTTTGGAGAAATAAGTTTTGAGAGATTAATTGGAGAATGAAAGTTTTTTTTTTATTAGTTGAAATGAGACAAAATAAACTATAACGGTCAACTCATGTTTAAAAGTGCTAGGAAAATATGTTATAGAACAAGAATTTGAAAAAATAGAATAATATTTGTTTGTTTATTTAGGGAATACAATTTATACAGTTACATCTTTTTAACATACAATCACATCATAGAGAAACTCTAGGAGTTGTTTTTGAGATTTTTTTTGTTTTTAGAAATCTTAATTCTTAATAAACACAAATTTGTTTCCAGTAGAAAAATTAAAGTGATGAGATGAAATTTTAACCTAGGTTATTTAACTATGCATGCTCCTACAGTCTTACTATAATAAAGTAGACCAATTAGTCCCTTCATTTTCTATATTAGTGTGTGTGTGTGTGTGAGAGAGAGAGAGTAGGACCGAGTCTCTCCATTTTCTATATATGTTCGCGAATAAAGGAGAAAAATAATAGTGGAAAGTGAAAGGTTTAGTTAGAGAGAGACAAGTGGTGCCAAAACATACAATAAAAGAAGGCTGACAAAAGAACAAAAGTTGTGCTTAATTGGTGGGAATATGATTTCTATAAAGCAAAGCTGAAAATTATATTCCAGGCGAATTTATTATATATAATTTTTGCACTGTACGTGGTTGGGGGTAGAGAGGCATAATAATATTATTTACCTTTCCTTGAGTTTGTTAGGTGGAGGCCTTGGCCTCTCTTTTGTCTTCTTGCATTTAACATCATCTTCATCTTCAATATTCAAACACTGTTTTTGCTTTCATCTCGAAAATCATTTTCATGTACCTACATATTTCGATCCCCCATAATAAACTATATCTTCAATAATTTATTTCAAATTGGTTATTTGTATTTATTATATATAATAGGTGAACAATATTTCAAACATCAACTTTAACAAAATATTCGAAAAACATTGTTTATGTTTGACACAACTATTTTTTTTAATTTTTTAAAATAGTTTGTAGATCATATTCCATTATATTATGCATCAAATTATAATAACATATTTATATTATAATAAAAGAAATTATTAATTATAATATACTACATTAGTAATTTTTTTTTAACTGTTATTATGATTAACTAGCATTTTTTCCCCGTGCGATGCACGAAATATTATTTTAAAAGTGAAAAAAGATAATCAATTTAATACATAATAAGAAAATATAGTACAACAACATAGTAAAATTTAATAATGTAGTATTATTCATATTTTATATAACATTAGTTTTTTTGAAATCTTATATATTAAGATTTATAATCCAAATATATAGATTAACATTTAACAAATCTTATTTCTATCTTTATCTCTTAAGATTTGAGATATATTGATGAAAAAGGAGATTGATAATTGTTGAAAATAAATAGTTAGAAATTAGTAGAGAAAAAATATTAAAAATAAATAATTACAGAAATACCATTTGGGTTTTTTAGGTTGCCCACGTTTCTTTCTTTTATATATAAGATATACTACTAAACTTTTAACTGTTATTAATTAATAAATATAATAAATAATTTTAAAATTTAAAATGACTAAATAAATTATTCTTTATATATAAAACAAAAGTTTGTCCAGAAACTCTAAAAGTAGGTTTTTTCAAATATTTTCGTGAAATATTTGTTTTCTTTATTTTCTCCTTTTTTATAAGACATTCAAAATTATTTGTTTTTATTTTCCTTTTTTATAAAACACGTCTCGGTTTTTTTTAATTGTTTTCTTTTTCTTTTTTTTCTTCTTCCCTATTTTTTTCCTTTTCCCACTAAAAACGGTCAATTTTTTTCACGTTTTTTATTTTTAAATATTTTATTTTTCTTTTTTTCTTCTTCTTTTTTTTTTCTCTTCCAGCACTAAATTTTCTCTCATTTTTTATAGGATACGTTTTTTTTTATTATTTTGTTTTTCTTTTTTTCTTCTTTTTTTTCCTTCCCCACTAAACACGATCAACTCTGAATTTTTTTTTCACGTTCGTTTTTTTCTTTTTTCATTATTTTCTTTTTCTTTTTTTCTTCTTTTTTTTCCCTTCCAGCACTAACTTTTCTTTCCCTTTTTATAGCACACGTTACACGTATGGATATTAAATTTTATTGTTAAAATAGATATATAGATTATGATTGCAGTTAGTGGAATTTTTACATTTTCAATGTTCCATTATTTTGCTATTGTACATTTCATATATGTTTACTAATTTCTAATTTTATTTATCTTATATTTTTTTTTCTTCAATATATGCCCGTGCAACGCACGAGGCCGAATACTAGTTGATATAATATAAATAAATAAACCTTAATAGTTGTGTTCGTGAAAAATATTATTTTTTATCCCACGATTACCAGTATTGTTAGCATATTATACTCATGCAATTAATTAATTAAATCTAAAAACATTTGATCACCCAGTTACATTTCATAAATAATTGAAATTAATAAACTATATTATTATAAGATCATTTAAATAGATAAAAATGAGACTTTTAGGCTAATATCCAAACAATATTTATCTAGTCTTTTAGTCCCTCGATATTTAATATAAGCTTTATTTAGTGTTTTCGGCTTTGAAGATTCTAAGTTAAAGAATTCTCGTTAACTTGGGTATGCATTGATTACTTGATGGAAATTATTTATAAGGTATTCACATTTTTCAAATATTGGATTGATGATAACAATGAGTATCTTATGATCTTTGTTTATGTAAATATATGGTTAGTTTGAATTTTGTGTCCGAGATACTTCAATAAGTTCACCACCCAGACCTAGGAAAACATATTATTTATTTTATTTATTAGAATAAATTATTTGTTGGTTACGTGTAATTTTTTTAGTTGTGAAGGATGAAAAAATTAACATTACAAAGAGCATTTTAAGATAAACTCCACAATTGCGGATCTGCTTACTAATGGATCAACATCTAATGTCTTTCATGAGCATTGCTCATCATGCCAATGTAGTATCATTGAAGGATACTATGGTTCAATGGGATTTTGTATGTATGTGTATATATATGTACATATTTTGGTAGTTCTATGATATGTTGGAAATAAATTTATGTATTTAATTTCTGAAGAAATAAATTTTGGTTCCACACTATATGTTAAAAAGTTGATCTTAATAAATTTTAAAGTTGGCCATGTATCTGTATACATGATCATTATTGATTTAGACACGATCAATGTGACGAAAGTTTTGTTAGTCCTATAATAGTATGTTCAATGAACTATATTGTAAAGAATACCCTTTTATATGATTGCATTATTTGAGCTTAAAATGTGTACACATTTATAAAATATATATTATATGTATTAAATGTGGAAAATTGATGGACTATTAAAATAATGTACAAGCACGCATATGTAAATTAATTGTGTATGACTATCTACTGGATATTCTAAATTAAAAGTGAAACGATAAAGATTATTGATTATTTGATTGGACCTACGGGATGTTAGAGTACAAATTATGATTTAATTATAATTTATTGATGGGGCTGAATCATATTTTTAATATAACTGGATTCTAAATTTATATAAAGGATCATGGTCTCTAGATAAACTCAGTCATTCCATCTCGTAAGGTAATCCGTCAATTAGAGAGAGAAATTTGAAGGGAATTGCAAATTGTTTGGAAGACCCACCTAAATCCTGTGGAAATCCGTTGGAGATTCGAAGTTACAATACCATGGAGTAAGATACGCTTCCGTCTTTATATTTATGTATTACCTCATTGATTCAACATGTTGGTTCTTGAGGATTCATATGTATTTACGATAAATTTCTAACAATTTATCCCATCTTTCAATTTGCTATTAGAAATTGTAGTTCAATACTTCATATAATAAAGTTTCAACTCCATCATTTATGTTAGTTGATTTTTTTTCAATCTTTTTTTTTTTTTCAATCTTTTTCTCAGGTCAACAAATCATGAGTAGATGAGAGTATAATAGAAAAATATCTGAATAATATTATTTAGTTTGGGTCCCAACCTCCAAATGGGGGTAATGACAAGGTCAACAATAATAGCAGCATAAGGATTACAAGTAAAACATATTTAATGTTTTGGTAGCATAAAGCAGTTTTAACATGTGAACTATGACTATAATTGTCTCTATTCCAAACAACTAACTTCAAGGATTGGTATGATAAATAGTATTGTTGATATATATATATATATATATATATATATATATATATATATATATATATATATATATATACTTGAAGTCCACAATTAAATGCTATAATTTGGTTAAATTAGTTGCACCTCTTCTCCTGTGATTAATTTAGTAGAGAGTGATTAAAGAGGAAAAGTAGAATTTTATCCTTAAAACAATGGAGTTTTTGTGCATAAGTCCCCAACCAAGCATCTTTATTATTCTAGGTTTAGGGACTATATATCTTTCACCAATAAGCTCATCCCTTTAATATTTATTATAAATAAAGGAAACATTCATGTATATGTCAATATTACCCTCAACTATTTATACCCAATTCTTAATTGTAACCCCAATTTAATCAATTTTGTCCACAAAAATTAAATTTTGACCACAAAAATTCAATTTTGACTTTTTTTGGAAGATACTTTAATATGCTCCAATTTCATCATTAACTTAATTTAATCTCAATTTGACCCTAATTTTCACAAATTATTCAATTTTGACCCAATTTTTTTTTTTTTTTTTTAAATTTTGCCGCCGGATTCCGGCGTTGACTTTTCAATTTATTATTTTTTTTCTTTCGGATTTTTTCGCCTGTTTCCGGCGTTGACTTTTTTTTTCTTTTCTTTTCTTCCGGATTTTTTCGCCGGTTTCCGGCGTTGACTTTTTTTAGTGTTTTTTTTAAGTTTTTTTGTGTTTTTTTTTACGTCTGTCGCTAAACGTTGACCGTAATTGTGTTGTCACTGACAGTAAATTAACGTAATTATACTGTCAATGACAGTTAATTAACGTAATTGTACTGCCGTTGACAATACATTTATGTAATTGTTCTGCCGTTGACAGTAAATTAACGTAATATTATTATTTTTTATTTTGTTTGATTTGTTGACAAGTCAACGTAATTATATTACTGTCGTTCACAGTAAAATAACTGTAAACACAATAATATTACTGTCAACAACATCAATATTATTATTTTTTTGGGTTTTTTGTTTTGTTTGAGTTATTTACGGAGTAACGTAATAATATTACTGTCTGTTATTGTAATATTACTGTAAACACAATAATATTATTGTGGTTGACGGTAATATTACTGTTGTTATAGTAATATTGTTGTCAACCATATCAATATTATTATTTTGTTTGAATTTTTTTGTTTGTTTGAGTTATTCACGGAGTAACGTAATAATATTACTGTCTATTATTGTAATATTACTGTGGTTAGCGGTAATATTACTGTTGTTATAGTAATATTACTATCACTCACAGTAATATTAATTCTTTTGGCTTTTTATTATGTTTACATTTGTTGAACGATCAAAATAGTAATATTACTCTATTACACAATAATAATGAGTTTTGTTGTTTTAATATTACTGTGCTAGAGATTAATATAGTAATATTACTGTGTTAAACTGTAGTTTAGTTAATTTTACTGTGTTTAACAGTAATATAGTTAATATTACTGTCAATCACAGCAATATTATTGTTTAAACGAAAATAGAAAGTTACAGAAAGAAAGAAAAGAAAAGAAAAAAAAAATTCGAAAAAGTCAACGCCGGAAACCGGCGAAAAAATCCGGAAGAACAAAATTTTTTGAAAAGTCAACGCCGGAATCCGGCGGGAAAAAAAATTTGAAAAAAAAAGTTTTGGGTCAAAATTGAATAATTTGGGGTCAAATTGAGGTTAAATTAAGTTAAGGATGAAATTGGAGCATATTAAAGTATGAGCGGTTATTTTAGTCCTTTACAAAAATCTGGACCATGTGTGGACTTATTGATAAAGATGTTTTTTATCTGGATCTCTTTATGAATAAATGCCCATTGATAAGCTTATTTGTAATCACCCATATATATATATATATATATATATATATATATATATATATATATATATATATATATATATATATCAATTCTAATGTTTTATAGCTAACTTAGTCATACGATCACTAACATAGCCTAATGGTCCAAAACTTTCCAAATATGAGATTTATTAATTGAAGTGTAAGATATATGGATGTATGCTTCATTTGTACTTATTTTCCATTTTGTTATTTATAATGATTGGCGATGACGATGATCAAGAGCATTGAAGAATCCAATTACTTAGGTGTTTAGGTTGTCATTAATTTGTTTTCATGTTTTATAAGGAAGTATTTAGTCCATACTTGTAGAGATTTATTGTAATACAAACTTAATAACGTATTTGTTTATATATTAAAAAGAAAATTAATTTTTTTCTTATCTAATTATTAGATTGTATATATAATGAAATATTTTAATTCCTTATGATTGATATCTTTGTGTCAACCTATGGATCGCAAAATTCGCATATATATCTCATAACTTAGGCTCTAATTGGTTCATGGATTTCAAAATAAGGAAAATGAAAATGTAAAGGAAAAGGAAATCAAGGACTTTTGAAATCTCAATTGTATTTGGTTCCTAAGAAAAATGGTGATGAAAATAATTTTTGGAATATCATTTTCCATAGTTTTGTTTGGTTCCTAGAGAAAACGGGATGGAAAATATCAAGAAAAACGAAAATAACAAACAAACGGTGACGAACATATTTTGTTCATTGTTATAATTATCACAGATTTATCCATTCAAAAGAAAAACATAAAACTTTCACACATTAAAAATAAAAATAAATAATTAAATAAAGAAATAAAAATATTTAAAAAAAAAAAAAAAAGGGAAAAAGAAAAAAAAATTGTGAATTAATAATGGAGAAATTCTCCACCAGATTGCTGGCAAGAGTGGAAATCTATCAAAACCAAGTTGGGCAATTGGAGACGAGAATAAACTCATCTCTTAGGTGGTGGAGAATGGTGTTGGGCTCATGACTTCTCAAGCGGATGAACGATTTGTGAGGTTTTTTGCGGCGGTGGAGAGGTTGCTGGTGGTGGTTGACGGTGTTGAGGGTCTGGTGGTGATGAAGGCGGCATCGATTGGCGGCGTCGAGGGTCTGGTGGTGGTGATGAAGGCGGCAGCGATTGGCGGCGTTGAGGGTCTGGTGGTGGTGATGAAGGCGGCAGCGATTGGCGGCGTTGAGGGTCTGGTGGTGGTAGGGGTGGGCATTCGGGTCGGGTCGGGTTATTCGGGTTATTCGGGTCGGGTTATTCGGGTTTTTTGCAAAAAAAAAATTACCCGAACCCGACCCGAGATAACCGGGTTTTGCTATTTTCCTTTTTTTTTTTTTTTTTTTTTTTTTTTTTTTTTTTTTTTTTTTTTTTTTTTAAGGTAAACATATATATACAGACATATATATATATATAGCAATATACATATATATATTTATATATATATATATATACATATACATATACTGATATATATATATATATATATATATATACACACACACAGACATATACATATATATACATAAAAATATAGACATATATATATATATAGTATGTATTACAGATATATATATATATATATATATAAAAAAAAAAAAAATTTTTTTTTTTTTTAAACCGGGTACCCGATCGGGTACCCGATCGGGTACCCGATCGGGTACCCGGGTAGAATTTCTATTACCCGGACCCGACCCGGTTTGGGATCACCGGGTACCCGAACCCGGGAAAAACCCGGCTATGTAAAAAATTACCCGATCCGGTCGGGTAATACCCGACCGGGTCGGGTTATACCCGAATAACCCGACCCGAATGCCCACCCCTAGGTGGTGGTGAAGTGAGGCGGCGGCGGTCGGCAGGAGGGTTGTGAAGGAGGGTCTGCCGGTCTGGTGGTAATTTCGAAGGAAGCCATAAAAGAGGGATAAATTTAAGAAGTGAGGAGAAAGAAGAAAGCCCGGTCGTTTTTTCCATACACTTTCCTCATTTTTTTTGAGGAAAAGCCCTTTTCCTTATTTCACGTTATAAAAAATTTCCTCTTTTTCCTTGAATTATTTTATCCAGTATTTTAGCTAGTAACCAAACAGGAAAAGTGAATTACATACGCTTTTCACAATTTTACCTATCGCTTTCCACAAAAGTGAAAAACACTTGAAACTTTTACTACAAATACACATCTCAGCCAGATGGATTTGCAAGGGTAATCTATAGGAGCAGTTTTGTGCTATCGTTGCAACTATTGCAACACCTACTAGTTTCTTATATGATTTTCTTATATCAAATCATAAAGAAGATTGGTATTTCGGAGAAATGCTTTGAGAATATCGAGATTATCGACTTGAGGGATTTAACATTGGAGGGAGTCCATGAATGTTAATTGAGGAGTTTGTCGTTTTGAAGACAAGAGTTCGAGTAGTGTACGTCACGACAACGATATTTAACATCAAATGAGAGTCTTTAGTGTTTTTATAAATTCCCATTATTGTTCGCACATAAATATGGACTAGTAAAATTTTATTTGTCGAACCATAAAAAATCGTGTGTCATTTACTCTTCTTTACAAACAATAAGCTATCACTATACACAAAATTATATTATAAATACCTTGTTAAAATAACTTTAGTGTTATAACAAACAATAAGATTTCTATGGATCCCTTTCAGATTGGGGAGAGACTTCAGATGCAGTGTTTCCAAAGATGGGAAGTACTGTCGGACTCGGACGCTTATTGATGGATCCTCAATAATGTACTCTATCCCCGCCACATTACGTATGAGCAAGGATTTAAGATGGGGTAGATTTCCCAGTTGTGGAAGATGCGAACAATTCCGGCAATCTAATATATAAATATCGACCACTTTGTCCAGAGTCGAACTTGACATCCAAACTGGAAAACACCTACCCGCGAACCCCTTTATCACTAAATACTCGAGATTTCGGTGAGGTTCGAGTGCTTCAAGCACCTTCTCATCTATTTGTTCTCCTCCTGATTTCAATGCAATTTTCTCACATTCCCAAAGTAACCACAACACACGAAGATTTTCTTTTTCAGCAAGATTTGCCTTCTTTGCGTCTGTTGGGTTTTCCACTCTTTCCAGATGGCGGATTTTAAGATTGCCACACAGCTTCAAGCATTCCAATTCTTCAAATCGATTTCCTCTGTTACGACCCACTATGAACACACTCAATGTTCTAAGGCCAATAAGTTTACCAATTTTAGACGGCATCTCCTTCAACGACGTGCATGATTCCAAATACAGATGACGGAGATTCACTAAGTATCTCATCTTCTTGGGTAAAGCCACAAGCTCTTTGCAGTCATCCAAGTTCAAGACCTGCAAATTCAATAGACTACACAATGATTTTGGTAGGGTACGAATTCCAGTTCCAGACAAGTTCAAGTGTCTCAAGTGTTTTAGTTTGCCTAGTGCACGGGGAAAATCTACTACCCCTGTCCAACTAGCATCTAATATTCTTAAACGACAAAAGTTTGTTAATACGAAAGACATGTCCATCTCAGGTTTATTACTTGTTGGAAATGCCATCAACTTTCTTCGCAAATTTACTTGCCTGATTTTGCTGTAAGATGCATTTCTGACATTCCTTAGCACTTGTGTTCTAGGAATTTCATTCTCCAGGATTGACCGGGCGAGATCGTGAACAAGATCATGCATAATGAGAGTGGGTTTGTTTGTATCCGGATCTGTATCACATTGCAAAAGTGATCTCAACACTAGCTCGTTACATATTTCTTCCCCGACATCCTCCACTTCCATTACCCTCTTTGATGAAATATATCCATGCGCCATCCACAAAAAGATCAATTCTTCTTTCTGAATACGAGAATCCTTGGGAAATACTGCACAATAAGCGAAACATTGTCTCAATGCTAACGGAAGATGATGATAACTCAATCTCAGGGTTGGCAGTATCAAATTTTCTTCTTCAGGTAATTCCCACATTTCACTTTCTTTTACGTAAATCCACTCCTTTTCTGTCCTCTTAAATCGCAGCAAACCTCCAAGCGCCTTGGCAGCCAAAGGGACACCAGAACACTTGTTCACTATCTGCCGACCAATGGCTTCCAGCTTGGGAGATAACTCTTTATTACCCTGGCCGAATGCACGTTCTCGGAGAAGCATCCAGCAATGCTCTTCTGACAATCCAGTCAAGTAATGTGGTGGAAGTGTTCGCATTATTTCAGCAACCTTTTTTAATCGTGTGGTGACGATAATCGAACTCCCACTCAAGCCACAAGCCAAAACATCTCTTAACTGAGACCACTTGTCTTGATCGTCGTTCCAAACATCATCCAATACAAGCAAGTATCTCTTTTGGTTCAGCAACTCCCATAGCACGCGCTGTAAAGAACCCAAGTGCATTAAAGCATGATTATATATGTTAATATATTATATCCATAATTTAGGGATTTGATTTGATTAGGTTTCCTTATATAGCTTGTTCCTTTGGGTATACCTATATATATATATATATATATATATATATATATATATATATATATATATATATATATATAGTAATATATATATAGAAATATATATATATATATATATATATCATATAATTATATATATATATATATATATATATATATATATATATATATATATATATATATATATATATATATATATATGGGGTCATTAGCAATAAGCCCCTCCTTTAGATAAGAAATAGTGATATGTCCATACCATAATTCTTTCTTTGTGATAACCCCCTAGAAATTTTATTCCCAGTATTACCCTTCCAACAATTATCACGCTTTGTAACAACTACCCATGATTTTTGAAATCCCTAATAATATGGGTGCATAAATCCCAATTAATTAGCATTAATATCTACTTTCCCTTAAAAAAACTGCTTCCAAATTAAAAAAAAAAAATCAAATCACAGAAAATTCGCTCAAGAAGACGCACAGAAATGAAAACTCCCCCAAATAAAAAACTCTCTCGCTTGAAATTGCAATCGCATACCAAAAATCGAACACATTTGGTGCAGCATCATCCATCCCTCGCCCATTACTAGTCATATACTGTTAGGATTTGAGTTGAAGTAGTCACATTCAAATCTATATCATGAAAATGAAGAAGAAAGCATCATCAAAACGCAAACGAGTTTTTTGTTTGTTTGGAGTAGAGTTGAAGTAGTCACATTCATTGTGTTTTTTTTATGCATTAAAAAACATACTTGAATGTTTATTAATTTTTATGCTATTAGTATTGACAAAAAATATGATTTACAATGTATAAATACGACTGTATTCTGCCAACTAGCTTTCCCCACACGAAAACATGATTATTAACATACCAGTGAGAATATGACTATAATGTGACTATTCTTTGTATAACAGTATAATTGACAGTGAGAATTAACAAACACTAGCAGCATGATTATGAACAGAACAGTAAGAATATGACTATTATGTGACTATGTTCTGTGATATCGAGCAAAGTAAAGAGGGAAAAGTGGAATTTACCAAAAATTAAATTACAGAATACACGTGTTAATTAGCAAAAAAATGATTGGTGGTTAAATGACTTATCAACAAGAGAAAATATATGGGCCAGAAAAGAGGTGGCCCAAAGTCCTTAGGTGAAATTCGAAGCCCAAAGAACCTGCAAAAGTTGTGAGAATATGACTATTACGTGACTATGCTTTGTACAACAGTATAATTGACAGTGAAAATTAACAGACAGTAGTAGCATAATTATTAACAGAACAGTGAGAATATGACTATTATGGGACTATTCTGTAAATCGAGATAAATGAAATCAGATACAACTCGGACGACACAAACCCATACATTTTGCTCTGAACAAAACAAACGATCGTAAATTGCTAACCAAACATTATAATCCATAGACTAAATAAATAAAAAAAAAAAAAAAAACAAACAATTCCAAACAATCTCTGATCTTTTCCACGCAACTTTTCTTCAACACCAAGCACAGAGCGCTACAAAGACGACGACTAGGCACCTCGATCTCGCCCAAAAATACTTGCGTATATCTACCAAAATCACGCATATGGATTCACGCAGAGAAAATCATATACAACTACAAACAAGGAAACGGTTATGGAAAAATATTATAAATATATATTTGATTTATTTTAAAAACTGCTATTAATAGTAATTATGTCTTATCCAATCTTAAAAAGGGGGTCTCACTAATTAATATTGGAATATGGGTTTAGGCAGAAGTCTTAAAAGTCAAATGTGTTTTACTCATAATATTTTTTCTTTTGAGGGGGGTATTGCATATTTCCCCATATATATATATATACTCATACCTCTATTGAGAAAAATACACATTATTTTCGAGCCCAAGCTCATTTTGTTTTGTTGTTCTTTTTTTTTTTTTTTTTTTTAATATTTTTTGATTATTATTAAAAACTATTTAAAAATTTATAAAATAAACAATAAATTGTAAGTATATATATATATATATATATATATATATATATATATATATATATATATATATATATATATATATATATATATATATATATAATATTTATATTTTATTCATTTTTTATTTCTATAATATTTTATATTATTATACATTATTTTAATAAAAAAATAATGCATAAAAATAAAAAATAATGAATAAGGCTCACGAGTAGGCTCATGAGCTCTCTAACTAAAAACTGCCTCGAGCTATCGTCAAAAAGCTCGAGCTCGAAAAACTCGAGTCCAAGTTCAAGCTTTTTTCGAGCCAACACATCGAGCTCACGAGTCGACTCGGCTCGTTTACCACCCCTAGTCCATATTGCAATCATAACGAATAAGGAGATCAGGACGACAAACATATCTCTGCAGAAGATTCAACCATTGATTTTAGGATGAACTTCTAGCTTCCAAATACATATTCATTCCTCATTTGCATGCAGTGCCAATGCACATGGTACTCATCTGTCTATGTATCAAATGGTAGCATGACTTGAACCTCCAACTGGAATAGCAAAGTTCTAATTAATCTCTATATATATGTCGACAATTTTTCTTCATTCATTAGCGAGATTTTCCAAACAAATTAAATGTATTCATGTCAGTGAAATCTGACACGGTTTATGGAGAAGCCGAGTGAAGGAATATTCTAGTAAGGGTGTGTGGGGGGTTTTTACTCATAATCCACCAATTCCATGTCCAATTCTCGTTATAAGGCCAACTCCCAAAAGAAAGGGAGTTCTGTAAGAATATCACCCCATGTGGTAGAATCTTGCTCAAAATTTGTGCTAGGAATAGATCTCCACCAGAAAAATATTTTACTCAAATGATTGAGTATGTAAGGACTTAAGAGGAGTTAAAATCCTCACCCTTGTTTTGCTGCAAGATTAAAAATCTTCAAATACTAAAAGTCGGAACCCCCTAAGTACATTTTAATTATGGCATATTCCAATTCTCTAATTCATGTTAACAAATTATATACGGAATCGCCTATAATTAACAGCACCTTAATATCAAGGTTTTTGTTTATGCTCTTGATACGAACTTCTATCGCCATCCTTTAATCTTACCCCACATCCTATCCCGAAGAAAACTAAATATCTCCCTTTTGGTTTTCTCCGTTGTTCTCGTAAGTACTTATTGTGGCGATCAACCACCTAAAAACCCAAAATTTGATGGATTAATTGTCTCCTCTCAGTCGAGGCCGAAGCACCAATTTTAAGATAGAGATATTGTTGGCGCCATATTTCAAGGTCTGAAAGTGAAGAAATCCGCCAAGCTTGGAAATAGAAGATTGACAAGAGATTTGTTTCCATGTTTATTTTTGGTAATTATTTAGGTCCTATTTTGTAATATTTTATATTAGCAATTTTATTTATTTTCATGTATTTATTCTAGTTAAGTATCTTTGTACTTATCTAGAATATTAGTAGAAATCGACTAGGATTGTATTTCCTAATGTACTATTTCTTTAGGTTAAAGTAGGGTTTTGAAGACTTATTCCGTTATTCGTTGCTACAAGAAGCCTTCAGAAACCATCGAAAAACCATCGAAGAACTGTGGCTTTCATTTGGAGAAAAATACAATGACGATTGAAGCATTGTTGAAGCATTTTGTGGAGCAAAATTGTGCTAGCTCGTTAGTGTGTGCCAACATATACAGATTTGGTGTATAGATCTCGGGAGAGGTCAACTGCGTTTCTGAAGGGAGTTCAACCTTGAAGAAGATTCAAGGTTCGCGGAGAGGAGTCGCTGTGAAGAATGTACGAAGTTCGAGTTGTGTACAAGAATGGCGTAAAAATTAAGAGTCTTTATTATTTTTATTAAGTCCTATTAATGTACACTGTAAATCGGGACTAGTAAAATCGTATTTACAGATCCTCGTGAATATAGGCCACATTTATGTCTGAACCACATTAAATCTCTTGTGTTTATTTAATTGCTTCTAGTAGTCAATAAACTCTGATCACACAAGATTAATAGTTGTAACATAATATTATCCCAACAAGTAATCTATTACAACTCAAAGTAATTGATTTCTATAGGCATATAAATCACTTATACATTTGAATGAAAAGTGACTATTTACAATTTTTTAATTTTTATTATGCTTATCCTTCATTTACTTTGCTTCTACAATCCAAGCATTCAATTATTCATCGAGTTAAATTTGTTTCTCTTTATTTTACAACAAAAATTTCTCCTCTATTCATTATTTTTACAAACTCACTCATATATTTTAAGGGTGCGCATTTGGACCGGATGGTCCGCCCATGGAAGAAAAACGGATGCTAATAGTTGAAAGACACGTGGATATTATTAATACAAATTGTCAAATTAAATGACTATTAAGGGAGGTTTTAAATGATTTTCATTATTATACTAATCTATGTATAAACAAATTGGGGAAATATGCTATACCCCCCTCATTTGAAAAATATTTTGAATTAAACCCAATTGACTTTAAAGACTTTTCCCATAACCCAAATTCTAATCTAAATTAGTGAGACCCCCCTTATCAGATATGATAAGACTAAAATGCCCCTATGTGTTAGGCTTTTAATTTTATTTCTCACACGTTCACACTCTTTCTCTCACGTTCACTCTC